CATTAAGAATCCTACACCACCTCATTCGGTGGGAGTTAATCCTAGACTATTGCATGTATAACTTTTAATGCTACATTACACTAAGTAAGTGGTGCCACACTAAAAGTGGTCCATGAATGGCCTATGCCTATCCATAAACAGCTAAGTTATTTTCGTCATTTTATTCAAGTGAAAGTAAAGATGATTACGAGCCACAGTTGGATGGAGTCGCGTCAATATTTTGGCTTGTTTTTTTGAGGGCTGTGCTAATCACATATATATATTTATTTATATTCACTAGTCAATCGTGTACAGCTCAGTAATAAACGACGTAATTGAAAATGTAAAAAAAGATTTTGAAGACTTTGGAGATGACGGGACGATTTTGGCGAAGCTAAAACGCGTAAGAGTTGGCACCCTGTTTGTTTGCCCTTTTGAATAGAAAAGATTTGGATCTGATAAATGTACATGTAAGACTAATGTTTTTTGATTTTCTAATTTGAAGACGTGGGAGCATAAGATTAAAAGTGCAAAAGTTGCAACATGGGATCAGAATGATGTAGCTGTAGGAGAAGAGCGTGGTCAGAGTAGTAGTGGTGGTTTGAGTGTTTCTACGCCGTTTTCGCAGCCGCCGCAAAGCGAAACCATGCCTAAAGGACCATCCGGTCAAGAGTATGATACACCGGCCGCGAATCTTGCTATTCTTGCAACCAATACGATCATGTCTGATAACAACGGAGTGGGCAGGCCTCAACATTTTCTGGTAACATTTAATATATTCTTTTGATTTATAAATTGAATTTTTTGTTTACTTGTTTCGTCACCCACCTGTCGCTCAAGCTACTTCCACAATAATTTTGCAAACCAGCCGCAAGCTAAAAATGGAAATGGAATCTCATTACCTTCTACCACCGCAACTGATAATATAGCCAAATATGTGTATGGTAACTCACAAACTGAGGGTAATTATATAGATATATTTTTTGTGCGCTTATATATATAACACCAACAAAATGGGAGTAATTAATATTTGCGACATATTTACAGCATTACAGATGTCACAAAATAATGCATTCGTAGGCCAACCTACATCCTATATGCAAACGATGGGAAATAAACAGGTTCGGATTCACAAATTTTTGGTAGTGAATCTCTCGTTATGATATTATTCGCTAGATTTTATCCCGAATCAATTCCTATGCGATTTTTTATGCCGTGTATCCGAAAATCAAGGAAATCGATATGCACGAACAAAAGCTGAAAGAAAATGGTTCTCGCGCGATCGGAGAGGCCATCCAGAACGCTCCTACTCCACCACCACAACAACCAAGTTTTGATTCATCGAACAGAGAATCGAGATTAACTGACTCATTTCCTGAGGAGGATGTGATCAACTCTGATCTTGATGATTCAGATGATGAAGGTGCTGCTGAGGGTGATGAAATACAAAATATTATTTTGTGCTTGTACGATAAGGTAAATAAATCCTGCCCTTTTTTTACTATCTTTACCGTAGCAATATAATGAGGATTGTTCCCAATTAACAATATAATGTGCTTTTTTCATAAAGGTTACTCGTACGAAAAACAAATGGAAGTGTCAATTGAAAGACGGAGTTATGTCAGTGAATGGCAGAGACTTTCTCTTTCAAAAAGGAAACGGTGACTTCGAATTTTGAACTGTATTCATCTACCATTGCATACTTTGTATGGTCGATTACTATAAAAAATCAATGAAATGTAAAATGTAATAATTACAGTAAAGTTTGTATTTTCAGATATAATCCGTTTATCTTCGCAAAGTGGTTCTCGTACAAGGAGATGCATAATCTTTAGAACATATATCTTGCGAGACCATTCAGCCTACATTTTCATGTGAGGGTACGAGATTTTCGGAGTATTTTGGTTTTTTATTATATACTTGCTGTACACGCGTCTTTTGTAATCTTTCAGAATATTAATAAATATACATACGAGTAATTATTTTCGGGAGGGTAGAAGTTTGAACCCGAATTTTAAATATTTGTCTTTAAAAATTGATCACCTGACCTTATTACCTAAAATAAATCCACCTGACATATCATATGACTAAGACGGTCCCTAAGTCGGAGTAATACAGTATATTAGATTATGCATAAGCTGGAAAATGCATTCTTCTATCGACCGCGTCTTCAGTTTGGAGATCCAAATTCTTGTGATAGGAAAGTATGAAAGAACTTTACACTGAAACCTCGCAATATCGTAATTGGAATTTTACAAAGGATAAGCTACGAGAAACTCGTGAAATAAATCATAAACTAGCCGTAGAAAGAGTGAAGAAAAAAATACTGGAAGAATCGGTAAGTACCTCGTTGTTTAATAAAAGTACGGTTCGGGTAAAATCCAACGAATTATTCATTTAATTTTAATAAAATATCAAGATTTTACAAAAGCAACTTTCCGAAAATTCTTCACCCTCACATAGAGAACAAACAGAACGCGCGAATTCCCCGAAATCAGAAGTAGAATGCCTAACTTTGGAAGACGAATTGGCCTTATGCAAATATTATGAGACTCAGATACGTGCGATGATCGCCCAATTTTCCAATGATATTCGTGAAAATAAATTTACCGATAAAGTCTGGGTAATTATCTCAGATTTTAATCAATTTACTAATCGGATATATCAGTGATATTTGGAGGATTATCATTTGTAGGCGACAGCAGTTATCTTTGTCAAAAGATTTTATCTACGAAACACGGTTGGTAAACAATGCAATATTATAAAATCTCTATTTGCTATTTATTTTACTGATTGTTATTTTTAATTATAGTAAGTATTTTATATTATTTTGATTGTCAAATATAAATAAGTCCGCTTTGCATATTTGAGCAAGATAATGTCAACGATAAAGTATCGAGGAGCACAAGAA